AATCCTGGCGTGCAGGCATGCGATGACGTGTCCCACAGTTCTAACGCACATATACATTCTATTTAGGTCATTTTATCGAAAATTCGCATTCAGTCCACAGTATATTTCAATTTCTAGCCAACAGATAGTGCCTATTTATTGAAAAATCGAATCCAAATCTCATTCCATTTTTTTTATCTTTGCGGCCGGATGGAAAGAGTTTGTAAGAAAGGAATATACTAATAATACTTAAGCTTTCATATGTGAAGAGTTTGTGCATACGAAAGGCAGTTGTATACACATAAAAGCGTTGTCATGTCCACATGCTTCCTTTCGATCGTTCGTTGAATAAATTTGAAGTAGGTTGGGGAAGAGACCGGAGTCTTCTCAATGCGCCAGATTTGGTTCCCCGGCTATAGATTTTTAGACCCAGTTGTAGCGGATTGCTACCTTAGTAAAGCCTGACTGACTCACCCTAAGTAAAGCCTGACTGACTTAGAAATCTCTATGGCAGATTCTCTACATCTAGCTAGACTCCCAGTATCTGTGGCAGATTCTCCTACATCTAGCTAGACTCCCAGAACGGCAGATTCTCCAACGTCTAGCTAGACTCCCAGAACCAGGGAGATTCTCCTACATCTAGCTAGACTCCCAGAACCAGCTAAACCATAGCCCAGCTATAAAGGAAACAGACGAGTAGCACGGAGAATTCTCCAACATCTAGCTAGACTCCCAGAACAAGCTAAGCTATAGTCCAGCTATAAGGGAAACTGACGTGTAGCACGAAATGCGTTTATTCGGTACGTATATTGCATATAAAGGAAACAGATGTTTAGCACGGAGCACGTTTATTCTACAGAGGATACAGACGTGTAGCACGGAACATTTATTCAGTAGCGGAAAACAGACGTGTAGCAAGGAATACGTTTATTCGATACGGGAAAACAGACGTGTAGCACGGAGCACGCTTATTCAGTACGGAGAACATACGTGTAGCACGGAGCACGTTTATTCAGTACGAGTATTGCTGAATGTACTCGTAGGAAGCTTAATCATGATCAGGATGGCGGATTAGGTTATACAAACAGAGGTTAATGATTGGTCACTGATTGTACGGTCGCACCTCCTAATCCTGGCGTGCAGGCATGCGATGACGTGTCCCACAGTTCTAACGCACATATACATTCTATTTAGGTCATTTTATCGAAAATTCGCATTCAGTCCACAGTATATTTCAATTTCTAGCCAACAGATAGTGCCTATTTATTGAAAAATCGAATCCAAATCTCATTCCATTTTTTTTATCTTTGCGGCCGGATGGAAAGAGTTTGTAAGAAAGGAATATACTAATAATACTTAAGCTTTCATATGTGAAGAGTTTGTGCATACGAAAGGCAGTTGTATACACATAAAAGCGTTGTCATGTCCACATGCTTCCTTTCGATCGTTCGTTGAATAAATTTGAAGTAGGTTGGGGAAGAGACCGGAGTCTTCTCAATGCGCCAGATTTGGTTCCCCGGCTATAGATTTTTAGACCCAGTTGTAGCGGATTGCTACCTTAGTAAAGCCTGACTGACTCAGAAGTCTCTATGGCAGATTCTCCTACATCTAGCTAGACTCCCAGAACCAGCTAAGCTATAGCCCAGCTATAAACGAAACAGACGTGTAGCACGGAGCACCTTTATTTAGTACGGCTATTGCGGATAAAGTGTACACGCATGGAGCTACTCATGATCAGAATGGGGGATTAGGTTAGAGGTTGACGACTGATCACTGTTTGTACGGTCACTGCACACAGAGTTGTACGGCCGCACGTCCCAATCCTGGCGAGCAGACATGCAGGCATACGATGCACTGTACGGTCACTGCACACAGAGTTGTACGGCCGCACGTCCCAATCCTGGCGAGCAGACATGCAGGCATACGATGACGCACACAGTAATAACGTGTCCCACACAGTCCTGGAAATTGAATATCGCCAATGTTTTTTAATTAGCTAAATAAGGAGACAATCATGACCATATTTTTGAAAATAGACGCATTTGTGGTGAAATTCCTTTAACTGGGTTACCAGTTTTTTGGCTCTTTCATAGTTCTTCGGTGTCTGCAATTCTGTGTCAGTGGATAAAAGTAAGTAGTATAACATGGACAACCTCAAATTTTAGTGGCGACTTCTCCCTGATAAATTAGGTAATTTAGAAAGCTTAAGAAATACTGATATGGAAATAAATAGACATGACCACTCGAGTAAATTGCCATTGAAAGGCGGAATCGTAATCCCAAAAAAAGGATGCAATTAAGTACGTGAAATGGCGTATATTCGGAAATAACTCAGCATCGGTGTTTAGATAGCAGATAACTTTTGGGGACGAAATGCTTTCGACTAGTGCGAACTGAATTAAACGAAATCACATCCGTATATGCAACTGCATATCGATAATCGATTAAAAGTATGCATCGGTAGATGGATCTGTCTGTGCCAAATGTCATTCTGTGCTTGAATGTTCTAAAAGTGCATTGAAAAAAGTAAATATGATACCTGAACCGCACTTCCTCCTTAATTATGTGCCAATCCTCCGAGCTGAGGTATTTCTTGGAGAATTTGAATGATGATATTCGGGACTTAGGCAGTAAATTTACGAACTTCATTAGACTCCAAAAAATGTTCATTCTTGCATTTTAGTCACGCCACAGTGAGGAGACGTCAAATTACAAAAAGAAGATACATAGCATGGAGAGTGAAATCAAATCACAACATGACGATATTGTTTACAAGGACGAGAGATTACGTCAACTTCAATCTCAGCATGTACGTCTTCGTTCCGTCAGTGTGACATCTTTTATGTGTATATGTTACAAAAAACACCGAAAATTTCAGATGCTTTAATTATGACTTAATGTAAGATTGTTGGTTAGAGTTCCACATTGGTTCATGAGAACGTAGTCTGCATGTCATAAGATTTAAAAAACTCGTTATTACTTCTTAATTTGAGAAAAAGAAAGTTCATTCATATATATCCATTTCTAGTTTAAAACTGTCAAGGTAGTCTGCCAATAAAGCAAAGATAAGGTAACTTACTACTTCAATAGTCAGCATTGGTTTACAAAAGAGCAATATTAGAGAAATTCAGAAAGGAATAGTTGTTTACAAAAAAACCCAATCATACTTGATAATGACTATTACCAGTTCCAATCCCCTAAGTGCTGAAAAAGATTAATTGGAGTAGATAGACAGTACTATGGGGCTGCTCTCATGAGAAATTGTACTTTTTTCTATTGATTTTTTCCAGTTTAAATAAATTTGGTTAACTGTTTAAACCACTTGATTTATGCCACTGACCATAGATAGTACTGCCTGTAATTGAGCAGATTTGAGTGTTATTTACTCCATCACAGTTTACTAAACCGACCAAAATTTTATCGTAGAACATTAGTCTTCAATTTACCTTAAGATTTATGAAACGAGTATGTACCTCAGTGTTGTAGCGGATTGCTACGCTAGTAAGCCTTGACAAAATTGGGAGATTCTCCTATATTTCGCTAGACCCCCAGAATTAGCTAAGCTACAGCCCAGCTTTAGAGGAAATAGACGCATCGCACGGAAAACGTTTATTTTGGAAGAGTTGAGTTTTGGGTTTCTTTGTTGAGTATCTGATTTAAACAGGCCTCTTGCGATTTTTACGTCGCTTGGTCAAAGTAGGAGAATGTTCTAGTAGAACGTTATGAATTACTCCGTGTATTGAGTTGGAATCATCAGCGTGATCTGGAAGTTTTTTGGAGAATTCACGTGTACCAGTTCGAAACCGCTCGGCACCGAATTCATTTACTCGAGTGACCATTATTGAGGATTGTTGGAAATTAGACTCGGTAGTTTCTGCAATGTCCAAATCCTGGTGTTTGGTGGTATTAGCTGAAGAGAGAGAGGTGTACAAGTTTGAAAAATTACTATTTTTCGCACGTATGGTCAGATCGGAACGTTGAAGAAAGCATTTTTCTGTAGAACGAGGTATAACGCTGACTTCAGGACCAATGGAGTTTGATTTCGAGATAAAACTGCCAATCTTGGGGTATTTGCAGCTTGATCGACATTTCTTAGCCTTGTCTCCATATGTTCTGTGATAGTAACAGAATTGGCTGGGATGTATTGTGGGACTACGTGGCCTCTTAGGAGAAGAAAGGCGTTGTTTGCCACCACAAGAGGATACATCTGATACGAGCAGTTCTAGTTTCTCCAGGCATTCAGTAATTGCATCAAGTTGCTGCGTGGTAGTTGAATTTTTAACTGAATTAGTGCCTTGCCAATTGTGAGCGTAGTGAATCCGATCGGCCACTTCAGCTAATTTATCAAGATCGTCTTGAAAAGGGCTGGCGATTAAAAATCGTACCGTGTTTTCCGGAAGACGCTTCTTCCATAATTCTTTAAGAATTTTGTCATTCAACTCGCAACCACGAGCTAAGAGGCGCATGTGGTGTAAAAGTTGAGAAGGAGTGCGATCCCCAAGTTCACCTTGTGAAAAGAGTTGGTATAGCCGAACCTCTTTGGAGGCACCAAGACGACTGATAACAGCTTTCTTGAGTAGGTCGTAGTTATCGTCCTCCGGCATCTTGAAGATGATGTCCGTAACCCGTGATAAGACGTTGCTAGGTAGTGCAGCGATAGCATGCTGATAGAGAGTTTCTCGTTTGGTAATGCCGCGTAGTTCGAGCATGTTTTCCAGTTGCATGAACCAGATGTCAGGGCACTCTGGGTCGAAAGTGGGATAACCAGGAGAGAAAACCAAAGGTTTCACGTTGAGATCTGTTTCCTGAGACATTCTGAGGGAAAAGAAACAGACGAAACGAGAATCGATGAAATTGTGATTGTTGTGAAAGGAGGAAGATCACAAAGTGAGTTGAACGATGCGAAGAGCAATCGCGATTCCAGTGATAGGATGTCTCGTCTGAGCGGATGAAGTCAAGCTACGCCAACAAGCCGTGACCAAACTCAAAAATCTCTGTGGCAGAATCTCCTACGTTTGGTTGGAGCCCCTGAAATTGCTAAGCTACAGCGAAGCTATGGAGGAAGAAGACGTATTACACCAAACGCGTTTATTCAGGAAGCTTGGCGTGGGAATTGTGTTCTTACAGGAAGCTTAGTCATAATCAAAATGGCGGATTGGCTAAAACAAACGGAGGCATTTGATTGGCCATTGGATATGGGCGCATGAGATTACTTGTTAGTCGATCCTTAGCTGGCCTTAGTAGACGATCGAACAACAGTGTGCAGTTTTCGAAATAAGTAAATGCCCGACTAGAGGGAGTAAAAATGAAATAATTTAATAAGGAAGAATTTGAAGTATATATTCCTAACTCACCATTCAAAGAATTCGGAAATAATATTTTGTGTAATTGCAAACGAAAATTAGTCAATTGGTTTTATCGATGGCTATTGGTAAACCATAACAAACGATGATTTTAAGACTAGGGGATACTACTGTTACAAAATTCGTGAAATCTGACTTAATTGGAACTAGTCTGACTGAATTTACACTTCCAAATCTTGTTAAATTTTCTGTGCATGGCCAGAGTGTTAAAAAATGCATTATTTTGTGTATTGTTCCAGAAATGAAAATATGCTTTTGCTTGAAAATCTAAATTCATTTATCATTTGTTGAAATTCAGACTGATTCTTTAATCTGCTGGCCTTTAATAAGTCGATAAATATATTTTCATCCCGCTTAATCGAACAATGCTCATACTCTTTGATTCTTTATTTCTTAAATTTATTTATGATTATTCCATTTAGACCTTTATTAGCGCTGTTTGGAAATGCCTCTTTTTTCGTTAGCTTCTGTTGGAATTCAGTCTACCTCTGCGATATTTCGTTTCCATAAGCAGCATAGATCAAACGATAGTTTCGGATCGTTTTTCTTGTTTTAAGTAAAATATACGACAGCTGTTTAGCTGTCACTGAAAAAAACCAGTTTTGGTAAGATTACATCTATGCAGGCGAACATTAAAGAACAATAATCAATAATCTGTAGCGGATTGGTACTTAGTAAAGCCTGACTGACTCAGAACTCTCTGTGACAGATTCTCCTACATCTAGCTAGACTCCCAGAAAAAGCTAAGCTATAGCCCAGCTATAAAGGAAACAAACGTGTAGCACGGAGCACGTTTATTCAGGACTATATGCGCATCAAGTGTATACACGCGGGGAGCTACTCATGACCAGGATGGGGGATTAGGTTAAACAGAGGTTGATGATTGGTCACTGTTTGTACGGTCGCTGCACACAGAGTTGTACGGCCGCACCTCCCAATCCTGGCGAGCAGACATGCAGGCATACGATGACGCACACAGCGATAACGTGTCCCACAAATCCAGTGCATATCTAATAAAGCCTATACAGTCCCTATGGTGAATTGAAAATAAGTAATCAAGTATTCTACACACAGATTTATTTCTTGTTCGGTTCGTAATATTCGCATTTTGTTTTCGAGCTCAATCATAATCTACTCGAAAAAGTGCAAATCTTATCGGCATTATCATTTTTATGACTGCCTGATTACGCTTTCTTTCAGGCTGATGAAATTGCCCGAATGCGTTCTTCACAACAAGAACAGTCAAGTCGTTTAAGTCATCTTCAATTAACTATCGATGAAAGGGACCATGATTTGAAGTCACTTCAAGGAAATCTGGTTTGTTTAATACTTGTGCACTTTAGCACACTGCTTGAATTAACCACTGTTGTTCATCATTACAATAATTCTCACCTACTTTCACAAAGGATAAGGCCAAATCCGATTTGGAGTACACAAAGAATCGACTTAGTGAGGTGGAAACGGAATGCTCACGCATAAACAACGAATTGAATACCAAATCAGAAAAACTACGAGTTATGGAACTGGAATATGTAAGTGGAATTGGTTGCTGCCTCTAAATGGTTATTTCTTATGGAACTGAGTAATTTTTGTCTAATATAGCAAAGTCAGTTGGAAGAAGTCGGTCGTTTACAAAGCAATTTTGATGATAGCAAAGCAAAGGCAAGTATCATGCAAAAGCGAATCGAGGAGAGGGAACAACGACTGAGGAAATTGGAAACGGAAAACGTGACTAATTTTTTTGACATTTTTAGCATTTAAAATGTATTGGTTAACCAAGATTCTATTTTTGGGCAGCACGATTTCCTGGATGAAATTCATGGTCTTAGAAAACGCAATCACGAGATGGAAAGTCATATTGATGTTCTGCGTCAGAGGCTCCTGGATAAAGGTGAACAGACAATACCTCTTGCTTTAAGCACTCCAACACCGAGATTTATGAGGGTAAATTTCAATCATAGGTTTAATTGGTGGTAGAGTAGTAATAAAGAGCTTCATTTGTAGAGTGCCACTGAAAGGCCAACAGGAGTTCTATCAGTTGAGGCAGAAAACTTAAGAAAACGCAATGTGGAACTAGAAGATGAGCTGCATTCACTCAAGAAACGCACTCAAGATCTGCAAATCCAGGTATTCATATTGACTATTATCATGACAAAAATAACCAGGCTTTCTGTTTGAAACTTTGTTCACGAGGGAAAATGGAGACCATTATAGATTATTTTTTATCTTTTGTGCAAATCCGCGTTTTAGGTGGATCATCTCAATTATGAAAGGGAGAATCTCAACAAATCGTACGAAGAGGAGTTGAAGAAACGAATTATGCTTGAAAGTTCCGCTCCCACTAAACAAACTGCAAGTGTCTAGCTTATTTTTCATCTTGTTCAGTCCTCAAACCCCTTCAATTCAATAATATTTGTCTGAATTTTAGACGGATTTCTCACAAACATCAGTCGACAAAGACGACCATACCTTGACGATAAAGCAGCTTAAGAGTGAGATTGAGAGGAAGGAATTGCAGGTAAGCAGTGAATAATTTTTGAAGCCAACAGAGTTGAGTTAACTTTAGAGTGATCACTTCATATTGTTTTAATTACTGTTCAGATTCGACAGTTGACAGAACAAGTAAAACGTAGCACTGCTCTCACTCGTCTCTCCATCTCTGATGGAAATGAAAAAGATGCGTCTGCTGTCGAACTGAAGCTGAACCTCCAGCGGTTAGAACAAGCTTTAGATGCGGCCAATGACCAAAACCGTATCCTACAAGCTCACAATGAATCGGCCATACTTGAGTCTCAGCAGAAACACTTAATTGAAAGGGTAGGTGTAATCCACCGTTCATTTCGAATGGTGAATTCAAAGTAAGGTATGGAAAATGAATTGAGGTCTTTATATGATTGTGGAAAAAGACTTGGTGGTAGTAAATGGGACGAGTTGAATCTATTGCAGATATTGGTAAATTGAGGGAGATCTGATCAAGATAACTCAACTTTAAGTTACCACATTCACATCGCAGTGATAGATTAAAGAGGAAAGTACGAATCGACTTTTAATTTGAGCCAATAGTACTCTGTTTCATAGCTTGGGTAGGCTGAAATGCAAGCAAATAGCATTTTACCCATCGTCGATACTATGAAAGTAAACTGAGTTAAACTATTTGGGTAATATTAGAAGAAATTGTGACAATAGTAAGCTTCATGCTTAGGTTAGAGGGGGGGGGGGGTAGTGGAGGGCTTGATATAACCAGAAGGCAAGCGATCTACAACTTTCCACTAATACAAGTATATATTTGATAATTCTTATATCCTTTTTTAGTTAAAAATTTAACGATTTGTTTAACCTCTGTGCCGAAGATTCATGCCAATATTTAGTATTTTATTGCATACCTTTTTGAATGGGTGCTAATCTATAAATTCGAATTTTTACGACACTCGAAATATTCCACTCTAAGATATTTTTTGTTCGATTAAAGCACGTTAAATGTTTACTCTGGGACATCCCAGATACTTGTAGTCAACAAATTGAGAAAGATGTCACGCTAATGGGATGAATTAGGACTCGGGGCAGTCCAATAGATGATCATTAAACGTAAGTGTTTAGGCATCCATGCTGATGACTTCATAAGGCATTTCGTTAGTATGTCTCGCATTCGCAAAGCTACTCGACATTCATACAGAAACATTTATTCATATTTATTAGTATCGAATGGCAGGCGTCTTGATGGTTATCAATAGCCCTTTAGTTGCCTTCAGGCTTCACAGTGGGGAAGGAACATCAACTTGAAAAAAGTCGAGAATGGAAAGAGAGGAGTGTTTCAAAGATGTAAGAGACGAACACAAAGGTAGAACAAAGGTGAGGTGAGTACTGTGGAAATAGTCGAAGATGGCATAGAGTGGGGTGATGGTAGTCTGAAGTGAGAAGTCAACTGCCAGTTAATAGACTTTTTTTGCCGTATGAGTATACGTTGCCCAGGGTGCACAACGTGAAGGTAAGTCTATCGCACACCCCTTCATACAGAAACAAGAAAATATATTCTGATATTGAATACTTAATTTATTACTCTTATTCTTTCACATATTTTGTTTACAGCAAGCGCTTCAGGAACAGATCACCGCTCTTAGACAGAATATCAGTGAATTGACAGCTGAAAAGGAACACTTGCAAAGAGAAAACTATCACTCCTCTAGTCGGATTCAAGAGGTAACTCGACAGTTAAGAGAGACCCAATTGAATTGTGATTCAATTGCAAACCAGAGAGATAATCTACAAAGCAGATTGGAGCAAGTAAGTTACATGTAAAACTTGATGTTTGGAATGCATTTTGCGAAAACTTAGTTGATTCACTGTTTCAGCTTCAGCAATCGAGTGGCGGAATGCGCTCATACGGTACAGCTGGACTCTCTATTCTGGGTCGTCCAGCTTCAGTAGCTGCCGGCTACTCCGATATGATATACCCTTCAACTGGTGCAATAATGACTGGAGGACAGCTGTCTCGAGAGTTGGATCGACTACATACTGAGCACGAAGCTATAAAGGGTCAGTTAGAGAGCGCCCAGCGTTCTGCTCGACAATTCAAGCAGGAGGCTGAGTCGGCTAAACGCGAGGCTTCTGACCTTCGAGAAAACCTGAAGCATACACAAGAACTCCTGCAAGAGTCCGAAGAAAACTTGCGCAGGATCAAGGAAGAGTCGGTAAGTAAGAAAATCCAAGCATTGCCTTCGTCACCTTATTTGCCTTTTCAATTTTCCAAGTGGGGCAAAAAGGGGTAGCATTGCCCTCCGATACCCTCTAAGGTAGAATTAGGCATACTACTCAACTTAACTCAGTTCCAATCAATACTAATTTTAGGAAAGGCGGTTGATTGCTTCCAAACATAATCTAATATAGTTAAGTTTGTCATCTTAGCCAAACTTATGGCACTTATCTTGGGCTTTTAGGAATTAAATTACTGTACATGAGCATAGAGAAGGGTTTTAAGTATAATTCGATGAATAAATGCTATGAATTGGAATTCTCGTTCAATCCCAATAAGATAATATTCTGAAGTACATACCAAATATTTTATCAACTGACAGGCTTTGTGACAGTAATCATTAGACCTTTAGTTGACTTCAGTCTTCAGAGAGGGGGGGGGGGAATATCAATGTCACAAAAAGTCGAGGGGAGGGGGAACAGAAGAGTGATTCACAGTTGTAAAAGAGACAGGCAGGCACAAAGGTAGAGAAGAAGGTATGGTGAGCAATGTGAAGTGGTAGAATGTAGCATACAGTGGGGTCATAGTAGCTTGAAGTGAGAAGTCAAATGCCGGTTTATAGACTGTTTTGACGTATGGGTATACGGTTCTCAGAAAGCACCGCGTGGAGCTAACCCTATCGCACACCCCACGCACCTAATATAAATGTATAGCAACAGCTGAATCTCTCATTCATTTGTAGCCAGTTCGATCTCTAGATATGAAGTGACACTCATTTACGTTCATGGTTCTGTTTGACTTATTTTAGAATGTCTAACACGAGCAGGACCTACCATAAGTCACAGATAGTCCCCTTTTCGCTTGGACAATCATTAGTGATTGTCCTTTAAGCATAAGGCAGTCTATTTAATTGTATTTGGGTCACCGATTAAGTGACTAAGCTTTTGCCCACCATCAAGCTAATGTTTTGAAAATCCCAGTGACTGGCTAAAGTATAAATCGATGTCACAATCCTACATATGCAAAGTTGTTTGGACTATCTCTCGTATTTTTCTCTTCTTCTTCTTCTTCTTCTTCAAAATTTCGCCTATAAAAGGTGGCATTAAGTAAAGAGATCAAACAGAAAAAACAAACGATTTCACTGCGGGGTACTGCAGTCGATTTATTACTCTTTCCGGTTCGATTGTTGAGAAAATAATATATGACCTCTGTTCTTCCAGTCCTGTTCCTTGAAAGGAATTTTCCTCACCGCTATAGAACCGGTCGACCTCACAGTACAATCGTTACTCTGTTTCCGAGTTGAACATTAAAAAATGCCTAGTTTGACTGCAAGAAAATGTTCTCACACAGCTCATTTATCACTCTCGAGAGGAATAGAGCTTACCTTCTTACCATCTAATCACCATTAATGAACTTTGAACAACTTCATGCACGAAAATTGCCTTTGTATCCCTCAAATAGTTTTTAGTGTCTTTAAAAACTCTGTTATTAGCACCTGAAGTCAGCATCTGATATTGCTGTCATTAATAAGTTTGAAAATGGCGCAAAAGCGTACTTTAAGGACACTTTTATTCATTAATTTAACCTTTGCTCCTCCTTCCCCCCCCCCTCCCCTAGACAAGGAAGGTCAATTTAGAGACTGAGAAGTACAAGCAACAACAGGAGGAACTTTGCAAACAGCTGGAAAATTTGAACAAACAGGTTTCGGCTAAAGATACCTTGGTGAGATTTTGCAATCCACTAAACACACTTACGCATTTATCTCTGATTCCTAACATTGACTATTTATCTGGCAGGTGGAGAAACTAACAAGTCAGTTGTCATCAGTCCAGGAAAACTGCAAGCAGTATGAACAGCAACTCATTCAAATTAATCAACAGATGGAGTCATTGCCTTCACAGGTTTATTAATATTGTCATACTTATAGTTTTACTTATAGCAGGATCAAGTTGCGTTTGAAAGGAATCAACAACAACGCTTAAGCTACGAGCTGGAGACCGTAAAGAAAGAGCTGAGCCTTCGTGAAAACCAGGTTAGTCATCTTAAGCAGTCCTTTAAAAACTCCAAAACAGAGGAGTTAAACTATGTGGCTTTTCCTTTCCCCCTCCTCCACCCCCCCCGTCAAAACTGCAGTTTAATCAGCTGACGCAGAAGCTCAACCAATCACTAAAGGAGTCAAATGACCAATCACAAGTGATAGAGCAGTTAAATCAACAATTGGCCTCGGCAAAAATGGTGGCACAAAAAGCAAGAGAGGAAGCAGAGAATGCACAAAGAAAAGCCGCCGCTTGGGCCACTGAACAATCAGCAGCCAACTCAGAGCAGAGCCAGCGTGATCATGAAACCATCGCTGAACTCAAAGACGATCTTCAGAGAGTAGTTAATGAAAATGAAATGCTTAAGCAGAGAGCACAACAATTGGAAAGCGATCTCAAGGTTAAGATAGAGGCCTATGCAACGGAGGTTGAGAGGGCCCAGACTGCTGAAGAAGTCTGTGTAAGTTGAACTCCTAACTATTGAGTTCATTTGCATAATACAGAAGATGAGTTCATCTGTTGCTTTATAGAAGCAGGAACATCTGCCGATAATTAATCGACTATCACAAGAAAACATGGATTTGAAGGTGGCCTTGAAAGATGCAAGTCAAGCTCAATCTAGAAGCCCAATCAGTGATGAGGTGAATGATTCAACTACTATATACTCAGTTTGCAGGTTTTCTATGGCACTTGCAGAGAATACGTCTATTAGACATTCACTCAAGCCTGATTTAAATGTCTTCAAGACTTAGTTATTCTTATAATCCCCTGAGACGACCTATCGCGTCACAAGCTTAGTGTTTTGTTCTACTAATTAGGATGTCAACGGTATTTAGCTATCAATTCTGAAGTCTAGAATGGATAAACCTATTTCTATTCGCTCCTACCTCACCTAAGATTAGAGCGTTAAGGTTGATAGGGCAAGTAATTTGGGTTAAGAGTAATATTGCCTCCTTTTAAGCAAATGTGTTAACAGATAACTGGGTCAGCTATAGATCACTACTTATAAAATTCCCGTGCTTTACCTTTGAAAAATAGTTCTTTATATGGTAAAATTACTCTTAACAACTCTTTAATCCAGCGACTTAATCTAGGCTTGTTTTAGGACACTTTTGTCTTGTCTATGGCTACAGTTGTACCCTTAGGTTGCCTATAACCTAGCTTTTTAGTTTCAACTTATTCCATCCACACTTTCAAGAGAAAGGGATCTTTCTCTAATTAATCACTTATTTTAGCCTTCGAAACAGCTTTTGAAAAGCTTTCAGTTGCCACTTCAAAAGTTTAAACTGACCAGACGCTGGGGAGAAATAAAAGCTTTTAGTTCTAATCAGGACCTTCGTTACCAAGATAATAATAAACAGGCAACTGAGCAACTTGTTAATAATTACCGTGGCATCTTCCTCAGTAGTGATCTTGCCTATCCAATCATCGAGTTTGGTTTGAATTAACACAAAATATCTGACTGCCTTTCCTTTTGTAAATAGATCAGATTCGTACAATTCATTAATAGGATTGATATTGATTAAAGTAAATTATAAAATCCTATAATAGCAAGAGTGCTGCAAATGTCTGTGGCATGGCTCAAACGAAGCGCCTAAAGACGACAAAAATAGTGCAAATATGACGGTTCCACGCGGACACCAAATAAAATTTTTTATGGATATACACGAAGGGGGGAGGGCCTCACATATTGACTTAAGTAATACTGGTCACAACAAATTTAATATAACAGAAAAGTATACTGACGAGAAATTAATAATCGGATTTTAGAGTCTGTTCTTCACCCTGAGAAATGGAAATGGAATAACGAATCCGGGCACTGTTATGCTATAGTGACTGACATTAAGAAATTAAAAGTGCTGTCCCAAGGGCTTATGAAGCATTGCTAGCTTGAAGAGTTTAGCTATCTCTTTTCTGCCCCATAAGGTAGTGAGATGCTAAATAGCCTATAAAGTGTTTAGCCCTTCCAACCAGTGGGTTGAGTAGGAAATAAACTTATTAATAAGACTAAACTATTCATAAGTAATGGTTGTCATAAGTAAATACGTGCTACAAATCAATGACTGAAGCACGAAATGAAAGTTTTGGAAATTGTAGTTCCCAATTAATCAATATTGTATAAAACCTAGATCAAAAAGTCAAATAGTCTGGCATTTTGGTCTCAGAATCTATACTGTCCTCCTCTGGTTCATTACTATTTCGATGTTCTCGTAATCGACACGATTTACTTTCCACAATTTAGACTGCCATTTTTTGTATAAGCGTGTGGTAATGATAAAATAATATCGAATTCTAATGATCATCAGAAGACAATCTAAATGTGTGTAAAGGCAGAGAATACTCCGAAATAGTTGTAAAAATGTGAGATATCAAAGTGAAAAAAAATAGACCGGGAGGAAGATTTTTGAATGTCATCAACGCGAAATAAGAGAATATGTAACACAGACGGTTCAATTGCATCGAAAATTATCAGTCCGACCAGACTTTAAGTCAAGTCTTACTTGAACTTACCAGTTATTCTAAATCCCATACCGTAGGTGGAAATAAGTGCAGTGTGACCTAAAGCTATTAACTGTGAAGAACTTCAAGTGAGACTTATCGAGGAGTAGAAATCGTTTATAGTAATAATACATCTCACTTAATTATCTGATTGTTATCAACTCTTGTGATATTTTCAAAGGGACTAATCTCGCTTTTATTAATAGCTAAAGATATGCTTTCACACCGACTGGAATTATGTATGATGAACAACAAACTCAGACGATTTACAGTACGCTACAAACTCTGTAAATAGACTCATAAACAATCATATAGGTTTGCAATATTAGCATCGATTGTTTATTAATTTCAATTGAAGAGAGGTAGATTCTCTAAGGATGTATCAATATGTGCTACATTATTTTGACTGCAGAAAGAGACTCGAAAAAGACCGCAAACTGATAACCACAGGCCTGAAAGCCAATTAGGGTAGAGCTCTGATACACATTAAGTTTGAAATCTGAGGAGAGGTCTGGGGTGGGGGGGGGGTTGGGAAATAGGCATTTTAATAAACCTGAAGAAATATCATGGGCTGCAGTATGGTTAATCAAAGCTAGTATAAATTCGTCTGGAATTGATTTGCAATATGATAGCTAAAGTAATATATTTGAAGATTTACACTAATTCAAAAATCGTTTGTCTCAGTTTGACTGAAATTGGGTCAAAAATAGCAGAATCATTTTTTATCAGTGTTTCCTTGCTTTACATGATTCTTTTTTGCCAAATTTAGTCCGCCAATCATAACTTGAAGCAGGAAGTGGACATTTTGAAGAAAGAACTAGATAAACGAGACGCTGTCATTACGAAATTGGAAAAGGAGTGTGTACGTTTCTCTTTTAAAGTCTATTTGCCCAGATTAAACATTATTTTACTGCATACTTTAAGCGATTTGTGAGTTGTTTCTGAAACCCCCTCCTTTCCTTTCCTATTTAAGAACGAAAAACACGTCCGCAAGTTGGAGGCTTTACAGGTTCAATTGCGAAGATATGAGGAGGAAGTGGCGAACCTGAATCGTGTTCTGGATGAACAACGAAAAGGAATTGAGGATCGAGATAATCTCGTTCGGCAGATGAGAACAGAGAGCGTAAACTTTATTTTTATTCATATTTCAACCTTGCTTTGCCAATGAAAGTGATCATAAAATTTTAGTAGTCATTGAATTATTATTTTAAAAATTGGAACTTGATGGATTGACAGTCATGAGGTACTTTCGAAAAAGAGGAAAGTTCTCCGTCGATTTTGAAGTCCACTGTTTATGTCATTATTGATAGTGACTTCCATTAAATATTGAAACCGAACTCTGTTCCTCTGGTTATCGTTCAAAAAATCGTGGACGCAAATGAGTAATAATTTCAAAAAAATATTTCTTCTACGATGCCATAAGCTTACTAACACTCCGTTTGCCGTCGAATAATAGCACTCTAAGGGTAGTAAGCTTTCCTAAATGGTTAAAATTGAGCTGGTTGTAATTTTTTGTCCTATTTACTTTCAGCAAAAGGCAGGCGGTCAAGCCGAGTTGGAGAAGTTGAAGGCGGAGCACGAGCGTTGTGGTCAGCAAATACAGGCTAAGCAACAGCAGCTTGAAACTCTGATGCAGCAGCTTGAACAACAGGCGGAAGAGATTCTTACCACAAAGTAATTACCACAATGACTCTCTTTATCATTGGTCACCACTTAAAGAGACAGCTTTCAGTCATCGGAAATGTAGCGATCTAAACTTAAGTGTTCGATCATGAATAACAAACCGGTCTGGAAAGAATTTGTATTCTTAAGGACAGGTGGGGGGGGGGGGGGGGGGAGGATTAGTCGTAATTACGTCGACTTCGCAGAGCAAAAAATTTGCAATTCAATTTTTGAGATTTGTGGATTTGAAAATAAACAAACTTTTGACACCTTTAATCACCTCCTCGTTAAATAGATGTTTATAGCAGTGTCGGGCAAGTTCACGTTCGACTTTATGTTTATAATATTTTTGGTCATTTTGATATAGGCTATTCTGCTTTTTTTCGACAGCTTAACATGTGGTTCATTGCCAAGATGAAGGAAGTTAAAGGGTTCTTGTCCGGCCAAAATTAGAATTCAAGCGCTCACACCGTATGTAATTCCAGCTTTTGGGTTCGCACAGGTAAAAAATAAGCAGTTAAATGCAAAAGAAGATGAAGTGTTTGTTAAAAGTTTACTAGCCAAGTGTGTACTCACATTACGAAGTACAGATATATTCGCAGGCCTTGATGTCAAAAGGATGCACCTATACATTTTAACGAAAACGCGCACATTTTAATTAAACGCACCCCTTGACAGATATGTCACTTCATTAACGAGTGTTTATATTAGGCACCGAATTTGCCAATCTCAATATTTTTCTCACTTCTAACAGATCAGTTTATTTATTGGAAAGATCTAAACGCTTTGACCAATTCAGCTCAACTTCCCAAACAGAGTATGTTAGCATTCATAAATTAAGCACTCAATTGTATAATTTCTGGCAATACTTCCATATCTGTTCCATGTCTAATGCAGTTCGTCAATTCCCCTTACCAACTTAAAGTTTGGCTTTGGAACAAAATGCTCACTTAAGTGGTTTCCGACTGCACATCTCATTTCGAACTTGTCTTTATCTTGGCGAATTCGCCATGGACCTGCAAATGTGATACCTAAAGGGACCGAGGCCTGACGAACAAGGGGGAAGTGGCAGAACTTCGATATGAAATTTTTTGAATTTGAGACAATTATTATTGTTTTGGTTAGTCGTCGTGAAAAAAAAAACAATTTCTCAAACACAGTTATAGCAAGGAAATTCCCGTTTTTTTAATCTAATCATTTTCATTACCTTGCGATTTGATGCGGCAGCGCACCAGTTCGCATCCTTTGTAATTATCGATGTTCTTCAAGTGTGGATATGTGAGTTCCTACGGCAGTACTTCCATGGTTAACCGGGCATCTGATACCATCCCAAAAAAAAATGTATCAAGTCATCATCAAAATCGGCAGGTCGTTTTGGCTTTGTCTCATCCTACGAATTTCCATTATCCGATTGTAATCTTTTCAGCCAAAACCGACATTGGCCACAAATTTAAGTGATGGCTTAAGTAACACCCTACGGTAGTTAAAGCCATGGTGAAGGAGAGGTAGCTTACAATGTCTGCCTTAAGTGTTTTTGTCTTCTTTTGTGTTGCATATGTTTTCGCTTCAATAATAAACTGGACATTATTGTTCACTATTTATGATGAACAATTGCGAGGTAAAAAATAACCCACACAGCGTTGTTTCTGTGAAGCTAGTCACAAAGTGAAGAGAAAGATTTCTTTGTCAAATGCAGATACTGAAATACTTGTTTTAAACGATCCTAAATTATAATATACTACTAAAAACAGCGTTTTACTATTCAAGCTCTTTACTTGATTTTCAAAGTTTTCCCTTGTGTAATGACGATCAGGCAAAATTTGACTATCCATGAATGCTGCCCTTCAAAAGATTACTTCATTTCAATATTTCTACTAACTTCTCTGTTATATTAAATTTATAAATTGTAGGATCGAAGCACTGACAGCCTCAATTTGTGAGAAGGATGCCAATCTTGCTTTAATTCAAACCACCGGACCACCTAATGCTTCTTCCAATAGTGCTGTCCAAAAGCTCATGAGCGAAAAGGAGACCATACAAACACAACTTAAACAACTTGTAAGTTCAATTTCCTCATCCCCCCCCACCCCCCACCCC